AGATAGATAGATAGATAGATAGATAGATAGATAGATAGATAGATAGATAGATAGAGTGTGAAGGAAAGAGACACACAGAGATAATTCTTTTGAACATTTATTTTTCAGCCCAATGAACACGATTTTGATCATTTAGGAGGCAGGCTTCCGACCCTACCTATCTGGGGCAACCTGGGCTGAGAAGGAAGCACCCCAACAGGAAGAGCGAGATACTCGATACAATTTTTTTCCTCCCAGTCAGGAATCAAACTCGGGTCTTCTACGTGTGACAGCGAAGCGCCTGCGCTAACCGCAACAACACAGACGCTGGTAACAATGATTTCCTTGAACTCACCCCGTGCTGTTGATGGTGTTCTCGAACGTTCCTTCAGCAGCGATATTATCCCCCTTTGTCATAGACGGGGTGAACTCGTTGGTGTTGCTGTCCCACGTGACGTAGACAGTTGTGGGGGCGCTGAGAACCGCCGGCAAAGACAGCACAGCAGCAACACAGGAAACAAACAAAATCATCATGGCGGACTTCATCAAGACACTCCAGCGAGGATGACGAGCAGGCTGGTAGCTAGCTCGTCTGTCTTCTCTTGTCGTCAGGCAACGCTCGAGTGAGGAGGGCGAGGGCAGACGATGGCGTGAATTACTTTTTCTGTTCCCACTTGAGGCCGAGCAGGCCGAGACGACTTGTTGATTGGTGGGGGTCAAGAGATAAAGGTCGAGTGTCGCGCCTGGTTGTTTTTGACGCGTGATTTTTTCACGGCCTGATTGTGTGTAGCTTAATGTACTGATTTGCTATCAGGCTTCTGTTGAAAAGTGGAGTGGTGTTTCAGAGTTCTCTCTCCTAATCTATTTTGCTTAAGAATTAAAACTTTATCAGAAAGCATACACTGCAGCGATTTCAACATAGCCGGTGAAAGTAAGTTTTAACCTCCCGTTCTTAAAATAAGTTCGAAGCACTTTTCGCTACTGCGACCCAAATGTGGCTAAACTAAACAGAGAGTGGAGATTTGGGATGCCCATAGTGAGGTCCGAAAGGGGAGGGGGGGAGGAAGGGGTAACTGTATCTGACTTAAAGCCTGCTTGACCAAGCACAACCTACTCAGGTGACAGTTTCCCCTGGAACCCCACTCTTTTCGGTAAATGTCAACTTGAACCCTTCATTTGGAGCTTACTTGTGGGTGGTTAGCAAGTGCTCTGGTGTGGTTTGCTCCTTCTTTCCTATAAAAAAATGTATCGTCCTGATCTCTCATCCTTCTTTTTTGTGCTTGTTACTCTCTTGTAACCTCAAATCTTCAGCACTTATATGACCTTATTGTGTTGCAAGTGCGGTGAAACTCTTACATGTTGTACTAAAACTAAAACAAAGGAGCTTACTTGACCTACTACGCGTATGCTGGGACCACAGAATTCTACACTAAGTGTAGAATTCTGTGGCTGGGACTCCACTCTCTTCTTTTTGGTACCAAAGAGTTCTGCGGCGCTAGCAACACTATACGTCATATACATACGTGCCAAAGATTAGAGGTGTTACAGGGGGCTCTCGTGGCCTAGAGGTTAAGGTGTTGGCCTCTCATTCAAAGGTCCCGGGTTCAAATTCGGGCAGCTACCGAAAAATTTTCTTCTCTAAAATTGTCTCCTTTCACCCCCTTTCCTGCTCTCTAGCAGTGTTCTGTTGTCTGCTTTCATTTCCACTTTCTGCCCCCACCCCCTCACCTCCTTTGCCCCTCCTCTGGCAAAAAATCTCGGAGGGCCCGTGTGCAAGTTGCGCACGTTAAAGATCCCTTGGTGGTCTAAAATCGATAAGAGTAGGCTTCGGCCGCCACCCGGGAAAAATTCAAAATTTACAACCAACTGAAAATATTAGGTGTGTCCCGCGCGCTCATATGTCCTTATACAGCTGCGAGCGCCGTAAAACACTTTACAAAAACAAGGGGGGTTACAAGGAAATAACAACCACAAAAAAGAGAAGAGACGAGGGCGATAGATGTTAGATAGGAAAGAAGGAGCAGCCACACCAGAGCACTCGCCAACCACCCACTCTCCACTCTCTGTGGGTCGTCCTGATGTCATTCTCAAAAGATCCCTTTTTAACTTATTTCAAGAATGGGAGGCTCAACTTGATTTTTTCTTGTTGAGCAGCATATGAAAGGTGATTCACGTACCATAGGCTACTGTTTTCTTGGTACTAATGAAAGTGTGCCTAAAATTGAAGGTGGAAACCACGATGATTGCATAATGGGGGTTATTTCACAATGATGTTGCAATGAGAATGTGTATGTTTGTGTCAGAGAAAACAGCCATTTTTTTTAAAACTAAAAGGGGACTTTTCTAATGAAGTATATTATAGAGGGGCCAAGTAAGATGAGCAACGCCTCCCAAGTAATAATAATGAACAGCTTAATTGTCTTCTAAAGGGGCATAAAACATCAACAGTTTCTAATATTATGATATATCAAGGCATGTTTCTCTTCCAGTGGACATCTCCACGAGGAACATTTTAATTTTAGGAACAATGTTTCCGTGCTCGACTAAGAGCATCTTTTAAAAAAAGTTTTAGTAAGAGTTGTACAGCACTTTCAACAAAATACTTACTTATTTACTCACTCCCTATGCCGTCACTCCAAGCTTGGCACATCGAGGCCCTTGGTGATTGTCTCTTCCCTCACTGTGCCTCTATAGCAGCCAGTTAGTCTTCCTCCTTTTCTTTTTCCAGTTAGGTCTCCAATACCATGTCAGATAGGGCAATTTTGTCTTTGGCATTTTCAACACAATAAGGTCATAAGGGCCGAAGATTAATAGAAGGAGGGAGATAAGGACGATGGATGTTTGATAAGAAAGAAGGAGCAAACCACACCAGAGCACCTGCCAACCACCCACCCAGAACATCTAAAAATGAAAAAAAAATATTTAAAATATTTTTTAACGAAAAAATTATCACTAGAGCTCAAGGTAACGAATTGTATCAGGATATCGCTTATATACAGGACATTTCTACAAAGTCTCCACCCTTGGACAGTTCTGGACACCTATAGTTTTTCCAAAGGATATTGTGGTTGTCGCATTAAAATTCATTGATTTTATTCTAAAAACTTCGGGATGGGTACTTTAGTTTGAACCCTATAATATGAGAGACATTAACTCTTTATGAGCCAGGACAAGATCTATCGCTGTCTGTAGCCGGGTACACATTCCAATCTGAGTGAAAGGAGGAAAACTCGTGAAAAGTGCCTTTCCCAAAGAGACAACACTAGGCCCCTGACTGGATTTGAACCCACAATGTAACAGTTGTGAGTCTGGCAGCTTATCCACTAGGTCACCAATGTTTCTAATACTTTTAGTAATAGTACGGTAATAATCCAGAGCATGTGGTTTTGAAATGGGTTCGATGAGTCAGTCTTACAACTTTGGTGAAGATCAAGACTCACATGCCTTGTACGTACATCTGTGTCAGTTTCATTCACCCTCCTTGAAGGGTTTATTTAATTTAATACAAGTACAGAACTTTCTGGGTTCTGCACCTCCAACAAGGTCAAGAATCGTTGCTCCAGTAGCTTCTCAGAATAATAACGGAGTGCCATGTTGTTTCTAGGGTTGAAAAAACCCAAAAACAAAACAAACTCAAATGCAAGTCAGGAAATAAAAAAGTTGAAGTGTTCGAGACGAAACGGATTTTATATGTAAGGGCTGCACGCCGAAGTGCAAGAACTCAGATGGCTGCTGGATTAGAAAAGTAAAGTATATAAATGTAAGGGCGAGACATACAAATACAACTAAGAAGGCCTACATGTTGGCATTTTTGCACACAAGGTAAATGAAGAAAATAACACATTTCATTGGATGAAAACTTTATTTACAAATGGCAATATAAATCCCTGATATTTACGTACTGACCCAACAAACCTCTCACATTTTGCTCAAAATATACCTTAACAAGAAATTAAGCACAGAAACTATCATAAAGATACAAAAAGATCTTAATCTTATCACAGAGAAAGATCTAAACAGGGCCTCAAAACGCTATTCAGTCAGAGGTAGTTACAGACATAGATTTTCCCCAGACTTGCGGGTGCTGTAAAAAATGTACTGGGTCAATACAAGATCCTTTGGGGTTTCAGAGTGCTCAAGTTTATATCTGAAATCAAAATATTCTACAGAAACATTTGAATAACTTTAAAAAACATGTGTACAGCCAATTCATCTACAAAAAAAATGCATAAAAAGGAACCGGTGATTATGCAAACTAAGTCTCAGAATATTTTGGAAAGGTTCAATAATTCCCATTCAAGTATTTTGAGTACGAAAAAGCAACGATTACAAACAACCTATTTTCATTATACCGAATCTTACATTCCCTGGGTTTTGTAAAATATTACTCTTTATTTCTTATTGAATATTATTTCTTCCATAGTAATGTGGCAAAAGCATAAGATGACTGATACGCTGGTCAGTAAAAAACAGGAAGTAATCAACACTGGACAGCAGATCTGAGAATTGATCATCAGGTGTTGTCATCGTCGCTCCCCAGATCAGCAACATCATCTGTGTCTTTCATCTTTTCCAGCTTGGCTGTCAGGTCTGAGTAAAAATGAAAAAACAAAAAAAACATGTCATGAGTAGACCTACTAGCTTGAGAAGTTTGAGGAAAAAAAGTACTTTGACACAGTAATGGTCATTTGGTGTTGGGAAACAGCAAGAGAGACAAACAGAAACAAAAGAAAGAAAGACAAAAAGTAGGACCCACCAGAGGTGCCCCTTCAACCAGGACTAGCTGACAGATTTAGTCTGTCAAGACTCACTCACTTGATACAGGATACAAAATCTAGCATCTCTGTCCTACTAGAATGCTTTATTTCACTCAGCATTGTCCGCCCTGACAGGTAGGACCAATGCAGCCAGCCTCTTAAATAACCAATATTGTATCAAAGCCGGCATAAAACATTTCCTATCCAGTTGAAAGGCAAAATTAATAATACTGTAAAGGAAAAGCAAGCCTTACCTTTCGCTGGGTTGAAAATGCCACCAGTACCCTCTCCACACACAAAGCACCTTTTGCTTTTTTTGTACTGACCCAAAGCACACTTCTCACAGAAATAATGCTTGCACCTAGAAAAAGGAAAAATAAATTATGGTGAGACTTTCCAGGAACAATACACAATAATAGCAGTTGCTTGGTTTTTAAACATACAGACCTGAGCGCATGTTTCAGAGCGCACTACCTTCACCCTTCCACGAACTGAATACACCCCTTGTGAAAATCTATCAGTCATAAAAATAAATAGCATAATGGACAGCATTTGTATAGCCAAATTCCAGCTCAACAGCAAGCTCTATGCGCTTTACAATCTATATTATTAGCTCAGCAGACATGATAGCATTCTGAAACAATCTCAAGTTCCTTGGAAACATACAGTGCATGCTGCCATTTAGAGACCCTTAAGCCCAACTTACAAGATCTTTCGCTGTCTATGGCCAGGAACCCATTCACACCTGGGAGAAGTGAGGAAAATTCGTGTAAAATGTCTTTTCCAAGGGCACAAGATAGCGCCTGAGACTCGCACCCCCGAAGCCGCTACCTCACGATTACGAGTCTGCTAGCCTAAACACTTGACTACCGATGCCATGAAGCTCAGGTGCACTGGACCCATGGGATCTGGTTGCTCTTATCATAAGAATTTCTGTAAGTTTTTTTACAAATACCAGAGATAAGATCTCTAAATTGTTTTTAAACTTAAAAATATAGTTCGTCTTTGTAAGGCTCAAAGCCTAAAGAAGTGCATTCATTCTTACATCATATTAAGTCGAAATGACACCACACAATAAAATTAATGTCTTACTATCACCAGACAATTATAGTGCATACTGAGAACAGGTGACAATGACTGAGTATGAAATGAAAACCTCAGATCTAGTTGCTTTTATGTCTGAGAACCAGGAGAGCAATATAGTCATATCTTATAGCAACTCCAATCAAACCTCAATTTATCAAGTCACTGAAAATGAAATTCTAATTTTTCCTCCACATGTTAAGTTTGGTGTTAGTATTTGATCTTACCTGATTTGAACATTTTTCATAGAGGAAAAATGGGTATATTCTCTAATGTTGAGAAAGTATAACATCTATCAATCTGCACAAGACCATAACCTTTTGGGGAAAATTTTCCTTCTTGACTGACCCCAGCCTCACTATATAACTAATCGCTTCATAAATAGCTTCAAAACTGTAGGCCCCATGCCATGACCAAATACTCACTTTGTGACAACAGGATCTTGGAAGGAATTTCTGCAGATGAAACACTTGAATGGGAGGTCATCTTCATCACTGCTTATCTCATAGTTCTCTTCATCTGGGGGTGATAACCATAAGAAGAAACATTGAATATCATTAACACACTATAATAAGATATCAAGACGTTTAGGGAATAAAAAACAAAAGTACAAGTACTAAATTTTCATTACCCCAATCCAATAAATTTTTAATTTTTTTTAAACCTACTGAACATTTTTGGTACTTCTAAATCAATTTATGATGTGGTGGTAAGCTATTGTAGAAGGAATACAAAGGCCGGTCAGTTTGATTTTGGCGCATCTCTGACTGAAGTTCTTGTAACATGAAAATATGTAAACTTGCAAAAATTCCAAACTTTTGGTGAAGAACTGCTCTTATTCTTATCACATTATCGATACTTTCTGCTCGGGATAGATGCAAATGGAGTTACATCCCCTGTTTCTAGCACTGGGAATTAAACGATTAAGCCGACCAGCGGTTACCAGCGGTAAAGGAAAATATGGCATAGGCAGTTACCAGCGGTTAAGGGTTTTAAGGGATAACTTCAATCATCTCAACATAACTTTATCATATGGCATGAACAGCTTTTCTCATCCTATTCTTTTCTGAAAAAGTAAATTGGAATTTATATCAATTAGGAAGCTGGCTACCATGACCCTGCAATCAGAAAAGTGGGATATAGAATCCAAGCAGACAAACTCTAGAAAACACAATTTTCCTCCTAGAGAATTTAACTCAAGTCTTGACGTACGATGGTAAAGAGCAAAAACATTAAACCATTACACCATTGACGCCGGTATCCTCTTCTCAAAACACACAGGTTTAAAAAAAAAAACAGGATGAAAAATTTAAACTATCATCTATGACGAAAAACTCAAATTTAAGAGAAACTATGTAATACAGGCAGATGCCAGCCCACCAAGCAGTCAATGACTTGTGGCGACTAACCTTAAGACCAAATTGTTGAGGTGTGTTGTTGTTATGTGTAATACATCGCACTTGTGTTGATGAGTAACAGTTCAGTGAAAGTGTCCAAGCTGTTCGGGTGGAATGTATTGGAGTTATGTCTTGTCCTGCAATGACTTACATGTGTGTGTGTGTCTCTTCATGCTACAGACTCACCTTTCTGGCCATAGGTCCCCTGCTCCATCTCACGCTCCAGCTGCCAGCCATGTTTGTAGTCTGACCGATCGTGGAGAAACTTGCAGCTGTCTACACACACCAAAAAAACAAAAAACATGAACAAACATGAGGTAAATTATAAATATCAAAGGTGACGGAATGAAAAGTGAAAATTTCTTTTCAAACAGTCATTAGAAAACACAAGGCCATTGCTAGGGTAAAACATTAATTATTATCTGATTATGATGATCAGGTGGAAGGTGTCAGTGAGAAACTAGTCCCTATTTCTCTCCAAGGAAACGATTAATCAGTATTGTATAATTTGTCTCATATATTTTCTAACATCAATGGACTACAGTGGAATCCTGTTATAACGAGAGGGAGGGGACTGGAACGAAATGTCCGTTTTAGCAGGATTCTCGTTATGAGGGACCCAATAATAAATTCAAAGGAAATAATAAAGTAGGCATGGTGTTCAGTTTATTTCTTTTTGTTATCGCCCCTGATGATAATTTTGCCCAACATGACCTCTTGGTCTTACTTGATAAAAACTCGAATCAGGTTTCTTTCTCTAACGCTAGCGTTGGCGATCAGAAAGAAAGTTTTCTGAGCCAACTCGCCCGTTGTGTTGTCCCCAACCCCATCACACCCTGTGGTGCGTTCCGTCTGCTTGCGCACATCATACATTCGCTCCATCAATCACAGCACTATGGCCTCCCTATCCCCGCATCGGAGAAGTGAGAGGCAGGGTAGGTCTAGATAATCTAGACAAGGCTGACGTATCACGCAATGCGTTCTGCTTCACAACTGCTTGTCTGTGCATGATACACCCTCCCCACTCATTCGCTCCGGCCTTCATTTTTGGCACACATGGGCTCTCCCATTCTTTGTTGCACTAGATCATCAATAAGTTTTTCAACTGGCGAGGTTTTACATGGTATAAATGGCATATGCGCTGTGCACAGCAGCAGCACTATTCCGCTATAACCGACTCGCGCATTTGTCTGATTGCGCTATAGCAGTATTTCATTTACAAAGATAAAGAAAGGAAAAAACCCCTGGGGTTTTAGAATAGTGTCTTTATAACAGACTTCTCGTTATTTCAGGATTCGTTATAAGTGGACTCCATTGTACATGTCTGTTGACCAGCATCTCTTGAACACAAACCTTTCAAATCTATTTAGATGTCAAGCCATGAAACCAACTTTAAACCAGGTCTATGGTAAGCAAAAGCAACACACAAAAAATGAGTACAAGATTCATCACTAAAAATCATTGAAAATAAAAGAAAAGAAGCCATTCAACCACTTGCTCGTAAAAGTGACCCTCCCGCCCCATCCAAATACAAAAGCCACATTACCTCCAAATCCACAAAAACCCGTTTCTTTGTAATCTTTACAAATGTCTGGCTGGTAATCCCATCTCACTGTCGCCCTCAAGTGCGCAGGTGCTCTCATTGGCCCAAATCTGATAGAGCAAAAAAGGCATAAAATCACATACATAACTCAGTGTGTGTAAATGAAGGTTGGGGATGGGGAGGGGAAGAAGGAAGGAAGGGGGGGGGGGGGGGGGGAGAGACACTGGCAATCAAGTCACTTTACTGGTGCATGAATAGCAACAAACTGCAAAGTGCTCAGAAGTCCTGTTTTGACCAATTTCCATTACAGTATTTCAAGAGATCAAAAAGATTAATAAATATAACAACAATGTCAGAATTCAGAACTTGACGATCAAAAAGAGGCAGAACTTTTTAACTTCTTAAAATGCTGGACAGCAGTTGATAAAAATGTTATCTCAAAAGTTGCCACCACTACATCAGTACTCTCCTTAAGTTACTTAACATACTTGGGGGCATACCTTAAAGTCACTGTAACGAACAAATACTAAAACAATTGTTACAGAACATGAAAGAAAAAAACCAAACAATTGTTACAGAACATCCGAGAAAAATGACTGCACAGTGAATCAAGATCCTATGAAACAGTAGACGTACCTGTTCTTTCCGCTTTCAGCATTTCCCTGTACGGAATCTTTCTTCTCATAGTACTGGTGATAATTATTGATCCCTCTGTAAACCTTGTCCTCTTCCATTCCTTTCAAGTCCTGAATGACATAAGAGAAAGCCAAACACACAATGTATTTCACTGAAAGCACAATGTTTCCAAATCTTTTTCTATAGTTTCATATCATATCATTGCATGCAATTGACTTGTTTAACTGATAATACACATGACTTGAATATTTTTACTTTACTTTTTCGATCCAGCGGCCATTTGAGATTTAGCCCTTCAGCATGTCGATATGGCAAAGAATTTACAAAGATCATACAAAAAGAGTGTATCATTGCCTACACAGGTGTAAAACGTGGGAGACTAATCTTACAGTTTATAACTACTTCCCCTAATTTTTTGTGCTATAGGCCCTACATAAAACATTCAAACAAGTAGAATAAAAAGTTACACATGAGCACAAATACTCATGACAGTTTGGTGTAAACAAAAACTTCCTGAAATAATTTTACAATGCTACATATCAAAAGCTTTTTGTAAATCTTCACTGATAATATATCAATAAAATTTACATTTAGTGACAAGAATAGTGATGTTAACACCGTTTTATATCAACAGCAGCCACTGAGCTACCATTCTTCTCACATCGAAGAATTGTTAGGAAAAAAACCTGTACCTTCTGCACTTGCAAGCTTCGCTCAAAGACAGCCTGAGCGTCTCTGTCCGACTGTGTGTCTATTTCTACAACAGATGTGGCTCCCATGTCTTCAGGACCTTCTCTTTTCTGTGAAGGAGGAAGAACAAAATAAATTAATAAAATTATTAAAACATGCAACAGACCTAGGCGCAGTAAATTGGAATCTTGCAGTTACATGTACAGTCGAACCTGAGTAAGACAGATTCGCAAGGGAGCAAGAAAAAAATTCCTTCTGAGACATTTTCCGTCTTAGGGGAATTTAGAGGGGAGATGGAGGGGGGGTGTCAAAGGCCCAGCCAGTGGGATCAAGGGTCACTTGTCCGGTCGGCAAGCAGTGGTCAAAACTTCACACCTCAACTGCTATCCTCTTTGATAATGACATGAATCAGTCTTACTTATCCAATTATCACCAGTGTTTGCATTTCATAGGACCACTAGTTGGTCGCTTTTATGGACAAGCAGGCTATCCTGAAAAATGCTGTTTTGAGAAAACCAAAGTTAAGTTTTTGGATCCTTATTCAGTCTCTTGAAAGACAAGGAGAGTTTTCTCTATAACCAAATATAAACACCAATGAAACCAAACTTCTCCTATAGGTAGGGCAATGCCCACTTTTGATTTACGTCAAGGTTTCTGGAAATACCTGAAATCTAGATTATCCTGCTTGTCCTTAAAAGCGATCAGTTGACCTATTAAAAACAGAAACGTTTGTCCTTTGCTTCCACCCTTAGCCCCACCCATCAGCCAATGCCACCACTCACTGCCATGTAACAACAATTCGAGGAACTCCTTTCTCGGCTGGCTGTACGATCAGGGCGGAAGGCATTGGTTAAACTAATTTCATATTTCTGGCTTCTGGCTACTCAGGAAAGTTTCCGTGGTGGCTCGCTACTCAAGCTCTTTCACTGGCACTTGTGAGATTTCACATCCACACTACCCTGACCATCTGCATTATTCAGGGCTCACATAGAGAGGGTAACATCTACCCCTAAATTGCATCCAAACTCCCCTTCCTCACCCGGTGGCATGGCCTTAAGTTTAGAGCCAGCAGAACCAAACTTGCAAGTTTTGTTTCAAATCGGGGCTGAGTGGGCAAAGTATTTTCTGTTTTAGACAGGTAAACCCTCGGAAGGGAGCAGATTTTTCTTTCCATTTCCTCGCTGGACAGATTTCCGTTATATACAGATAATGAAAGAGGAATATATCAAGGGGTGAGGGAGGAGATTCCGTTAAGACAATATTCTGTTTTACACAGGTTTCCATTAACTCTTTAAACCCTGAGTTTTTTCCACAGTTTCCTGAAGTTCATCTACAGTCACCTAAACCTTGTGCACTATGTCTCATTATAACCCCAAAAGCTTGCCTCCAACTTCTAAATGACAGAAACAAAGGCTTAGTCATTACTAAAAACTTGGTCTGGGAATAGTTCCAAAAAACAAGCAAAAACTAGCACTAAATAAAACTGAACAGTTGTCACTAGTAAGCGTCCGATGGGGAACAGGGATATTACCGCTGGACGCTGCAGACGCTCCCAGCGTCCGGTGAGGTTTAAAGAGTTAAGGCAGGTTTGACTATTAGATCTACTCGACTCATAGATAATTCAAATATAAAAGGAAAAAAAATTCCTCACAATAAAATTACGATGTAAAATTTGAATCAATTGAAGTATACAGGAAATATTGTTTAGTCTCAGTTAATACCCCTATAAAATGCATAGTCTGGCATTACTTTCGTGAACCTTCACTATACAATTTATGCACTTGCAAGAGGTAAGAAGTGATGAGAGTTAATGAAAGCAGTCAAAATAACCGAGATGTGTGTACATGTCTCTCTCTCTCAGGGGAGGGGAGGGGGAGAATCACATACAGAAAAGACAGACACGGAGCAGACAGACGAGGAGAGAGAGAAAGAGAGAGAGAGAGAGAGAGAGAGAGAGAGACAGAGAGAGAGAGAGAGAGAGAGAGAGACAGAGAGAGAGAGAGAAAGAGAGAAAGAGTGAGACAGAGAGAGAGACAGACAGACAGACCACAGAAAGACTGACCACTGACAGAACGGGAAAGAGACAGTAGTGAGAGAGAAAGGGAGAAGATTTTTAAAAAAAGAAGTAGGCACATAGATAAAAGCAAATAAACAAACAACCAAATGTTCAAACACTTTTCTTACCCCTGTCCTAGAAGATTTGTAGGATACTGTCACAGCACTAGCAGGCTCTTCATCACTCTCCTCCTCACTCGATGAACTTTGATCTTTCTTGCTTGCCCCCAGTTTGACTCGTTTGGTCTGAAAATTTATTTGAATTTTGGTTCCATTATAAAAAGGAATGTAGCATTCATATACAAAAAAGGTGCTGTGTTCCCACTCAGTTTTCTTTAAAATAAAAAAATATATCCATTAAATATCTTCTGATAGAGGTCTGAACCTCAAAGAAAATTAAACAGCAACACATGTAACTCATGAAAATTAAAATGATCTGTCCTAGTACACACTAAAGAACAGAGGTCTAAAACTACTGGTATAAAGACTCTAAAATAGTCGGTAGCAAGAATAGGAAATCAAGGAAGTAATATTACATCTGAATATCAAAACAACTGAAAAGCAAAAAAAAAACCCAATTTACTTTTTTAGTAAATCTATCTGCTTCTTATATACTCACAGACTGAACCATTGGGTTGCCCCTTCTCTTTCGTTCCTTCTGCCTTACTGCAACATTTCCATCATCACTTCCATCACTTTTATCCGAGTCTGCAGAATTATCTAAAAAAAAAAAAGCGTAATAGAATCTTTTTTATTATGTCAGCATGTGTAGGAATGATATACCCATCTTTAAATATAATAATAAGCTCACAAAATAATATATATACATGAATACAGTGAGATTCTCACCAGTTGGATCAAAACCAGAAAAAAAATTCTGATCCCTCATATCATTTATAGATCGTCGCCGTTGTGCACAAACCCATTAAGCG